ACATCCTGTAAGGTATTTCGTAAAAACTTGGTCATTTTATTTTTCGATGTTTGCAAATGTTGTATTTTCCCTTTAACTTGCGCATTAGTAAAATGAAGCATACTGTATTGTGACAGTTACATTGTAAAGCCACATTGATTACAAGATTTGCGATTTTATTGACGAAAAAGTGTTTAGCTCAGGAAAAATAGGAAATCTGCCATCCTGTTTTATTGATTAAATCACTCATCTAACTGGCATGTTTCCGTTCAGTTAGATTAATTTACAATGTTTGTTGCCCCTTTAAAATGGTCTCAACCCATTCCACTTTTAAACACGATAACACTGTACGGTCACTGCACAGAGCCCAAGGCTTGTACATCTAAGTATAAGTGGTGAATTCAATTATTGGAGTAGGTAGTTTCATTATTTTAAGTCTCTTCTTTCTGAGAAATAGATTTCTGCTATCGGGCAGTACCGTGACACAAACATACCCACTCAATGTCAAATTGTAATGAGCATTAGGACTGATCCATTTTTTCAACGGTGGTTTTTCTTTTTGCAGTGTTTAACATTATTGATTCTTTGGGTTTTTTTTGTCAACCCCAGTAATGGGATATTTTTCCGCTTCAGGTGACCTGAAAATTGGACATGAATCCACCAACCATTACATATCATTTTGACAGGTTCTTCATGTTGTTTTACATGCAGGCGTTTCTGCCTTCAAATTGTCCAACTATGTAATCTAGATATCACGCAGGCACCAAGTTGTGTTTGCTGTGTTTATTAACTCCATTTAATTTCTGGTTTATTAAATTTAATCTGCATTTGCAGCCTGAAAGTTGACCTTAAACGTACCAATTTGTAAATTGTTTTCTTAGCCAAAAACCCCCACAATATTTGGGAACCAGTTAAAATTGCAATATGCATCACACAGTCTTTTTGGTTGGTAACCTGATTTTCTTGATTTGCTATTTGATATCAGTCTGGGACTATGTAAAGATACAGCAGAGAAACAGATGGCCATGCAATTATTAAATGTCAGTGTACTGAGATCTGATTACGTAGTACATTGTACTGATCTTGTTAAGGTGTATCTGTCCATGTGATTGTTTCTATGCAAGAGGCAAATTTACATATATTTAATCCTAACTCCCTAGCATGATTTATAGGACCCATACCCATCCTGGCAAATTCGAACACCATGCGAGAAACTGCACACACATATTTCTGACTTAGATTCTGGAGGTGTGCCAACCCAATGTCAAAGACTGTCAGTTTAGGGGTACTGTACTCATCCTTACAGATTCCAACAAAACATGTCGTTGGGGTTTGATGGGTTGGGGGAGGTTAGAGTTAAAACATTGAGTACGTTGTCATTTTCAAGTGACAAAAACCTGGAAAATTGATAATTGTTCTATTTTGAGTTTTGTTTGCCATATTATTACATTTGACACAATGTCACAAAGAAGAATTTGTTTTAACTTTCAAAGCAAAATATTGTTTACTTTAGTAAAAAATTATCATAAACAAACATTTCACAAAAAGCCTGAACTCAAGTTTTTTTCTTTTTTTCATTTTGACCAAAAGTCACCTTGTTAGTAGGGCAGAGGGATCGCGCATTGCTCTGCAGGCGTCGGGATGGGAACGGACGCGCACCCGTGGACGATGTTGAAAAAGAACAGACGTGCGCATGCTCCGCTGTTGTTTGTTGTGTAAAAGTAACAATTTCTCATATCGTTTTTTTTATGTTTTCACGAAGTGACAAAGACTTTGTTCAATGTAATGGGGTAAAACGTAAAGGCTTCCGCATATTGCTGTTTTCACGAAGTGTAAAAGAGTTTGTATTAATGAATTACTGTTTAATTAAGAGAGACTTTTAACAAACAATTTTGAGCTAGCAAAGAACGATGCCTGTGTTAGTTGACAACGCAAACAATTTTCCAAATCTGTAACTGAAAAGTGGTCGAAAATGTGTTTTGAAAAAAGGATTAACTTGAAATGTAATTATCTTGGGATGACCTTTTGCAGGACCGTGATATCCAGGGTGAGTAAAAAAAAAAAAAAAAAAAAAAAATGTCAGGACCATTGTTTTAGTGAAGTTCTGAATGTAGCACTTTAAAAATCTAGGATATGAAAGCCCAATTCATAAGCTTTCTTTTAGTACAAGAATCATTCAAATCACTCATGTACTTTTCAAGTTGCGGACTTTTAAACACAACCACCATTTTAAAGTTCTGTCCATGGATCACAAAACGGTAAGTATTCTTTCAGCAAAACGAAAACAAATCTCACCTTTTGTGTGATCCGTGGACAGAACTTTAAAACGGCAGTTGTGTTTAAAATTCCATAACTTGAAAAGTACTTGAGTGATTTGAATGATTCTTGTACTAAAAGAAAGCTTATGAATTGGGCTTTTATATCCTAGATTTTGAAAGTGCTACATGCAGAACTTCACAAAAACAATAGTCCGGACATTTGGGTTTCGTGTTTTTTGACTCACCCTGTAGAGGTTTTTGTCACTTAGTGAAAAACTGTTGACTTGTGAAAGGGTTCCACTTTGCACTGGAGCTTGTTTCCCAATTTAAAAATGTTCATGTACTTTAACAAGTATTCATAAATACCTCAGACAGTTTACGCATTCCTATTGGTCGAGAGCCCATCACGTGGCCGGTCTTAAATGGATGATAAAGTCATGGCTAGCTGGTCTTAAACACTTTTCCAGTGTCACAATAAAATGTGGACTCCTAAAAATCCAGTGCCTCTTACTGTTTTATTGGTTGAACGTTCACAATCCTTGTAGGCATGCGCAACACTACCAGCGAGTCAGAATTTTATAGTTCTAAATTCAAAACGCAACGCCCCAGGTGCGTTCTGCGCGACATCGTGCAGAACATGCTGCGCGCGCGTCAATCTCCATAAAAGGGTTGTTAACAATACTCGCCAGCTGAACACTCCATTATTTTGCTAGAGGGATGTTTCAAAAAGCATGAAGTGAACTTGTTGAACAAAATCAGGATTTTTTTAATGAATTATTTGATTTTTTTTTACCGAAAAGGTTTTTATATTACCCTCGCCTCCAGCTCGGGTAATTATCAGCACCAAGACTCTAAGCGGTCTTAAACAGAGTGATAAAAACCTCTGGAGCACACATTTATTCCCTTAAATTTAATTTCCGTGATTCACTTAAAGAACTGTTTTTTAGTCAGTCATTCATACATTGATTGGATATGATATTTTTTGTAAATTTTTTACTACATCAACAGCAATGTACACATGTATGAAAAGAGAAGTTTTAACCAGTGCATGGGAAAAGCCCTATTGTTACATGTACATTGAGCACGGATCAAACTTGAAAGACATCAACATTTTCCAAGAATTTTTTTTTCAAAAGCCTGGCTCTCGATCACGCTATTTGAGGTAGACAATGCCAAGGGCATGGGGTGATTTTTGAAATGAAACAAAATCAGGTTGTGTCATCAGAACTGGGTGTGCGGTGTTAGTACCGAGATGAGGTCAGCTTATAAAACTAAAAAACAAAATGAGTCAACAAAATCTGGAAATGTGTGTGAAGTTATTCTAAACAGAGACCCTAAACCTTTTTAAAATCTTTTCTCTGCGTGTGGGTGGGGTAGGCCTACATGCCTTTTATGGCACGCTGTGGCATTTTTGTAGGCCCCAGAATTTTTCGTAGGCCCCAACTTTTTTGTAGGCCTAGGTACAGAGCCTACTGTGCCTATTGGATAATCCGGGCCTGCAGGAGACCTTGTTTAATTGGAAACCCGGATGTTGTTCACATCACTGAACTTCAACAATGTGTCCGTGGCCGTGCCATGACTGTGCAAGGTTTTTTGTGTTTGTTTCCTGTAAAAGATAGAACTGTCAAAGTGAAGTTCGATCACACGGAAGTGTCGATAAGGAAAAACAATTGTTGATTCTAGGTTGACACTCTTGTCCTTGTTCCTGGTACGTACATGTATAATAACTGTAAGGTGTGACAGGGAAGTTACAGTTTTGATGCGCTAGTTGGCACATTCACACGTAGTTTGTATTGCTGAATCCTTTGCTTGTGCTTTGTTTTGGAGAAGACAGTTTTGCCTGGAATCAGTGAGTTTGAGTTGTTCATATTTTTTTATTTTACTAAGGTAAAGTTGTCAAAGTTGTTTTTGTTTTAAGGTAATTTTTGTCACTGTTGCAGTGGAGATTTATATTAAATTTGTACACATATACACAATGTATGTAAATTACATTGTACATGTGTAATTAATCTAATTGGCCAATTTTATGGAACCTCTGGCGCTGAGTTCAGAAATTTGCTTTGTACAACATGTTTTTGCTGCTTAGCGAAAAGGGCTGTTTACTAATAATACCATACAAAATGTATTGCCTACATGTACTATGTACGAGTGTTTTTTTGTTCATTTGTTGCTACGTGTAAGTATACAAGTTTGCTAAGCAGTGTGTTTAGTAGGTCCTATGAAATTGGGCATGTAAAATCCGGTATTGCCACCATGATCTGGAAATGTTAGACTTAGACTTAATTCAAGGAGTCAGTTTGTGATACCAACCAGCAAAGCACATTACATAAGAGTGTAGAGTAGAGTGCCCTTTAAAAAGAGAAAACTTATGATTTTCCCCGGCACGAAGGATTGTGTAAATAATGTCTCTTGTATAGACTACTTCAGCGACCTAAAACTTAGAAGCCGTTCTGAGGTGCAACGAGGCTCTTGCTCAGGTAGAATACACACACTCTGTCCGGGCATCCATCAACCAATAGGGTAAACAAAATACGCATGCCTCATCATTGACAACACTGCGGCTTGCACGCGAATCTGTGTCAAGCTAATTTTGTTTGCCAAAGTACTCGATATCATTGGTAGGAGCTTCTGTGCATGAGGGAAAAAAAATCTGAAATTGATTCTTGAATCAAGACCATATTAGGCTTGGTTGGTGGACTGAGCTTTTTTGACATTTCACATTAGAAAGACTCTTATTTCTAGTTTTTGTTATTTTTGTCGTAGATTATTCAAAGAGAGAGTACGAGATGTCTGTGGACCAGGAGGAACTGAAGAAACGGCTGACGCCTATGCAATACCATGTTACCCAGGAGCGTGGAACTGAACAGTAAGACACAGTCCATCTCGTTTGCTTGCAAGATGTGCAGACGTTTTGTTTAACAAATGACAAAAAAAACCTTCTAAGGATCTTTTGTGCCAACCTAATGTCTAAATCGTTTCACTGTGATTTAAGTGTGAATGTTGTTGGGCGGTTCTACGGTGTCAGACGTACATTTTGGATAATTCAACAGTGTGCATAATACAACTTATAATCATAAAGTGAAGTTTGTTTATTACAATGATTTAAAAAAGAATTTTTACATCCAACTTTTTGCTGTAATAGAAATCAGCTTGGAACACCATGGTGTCCGATGTGCTCAGAGAAATTGTGTACTTATTAATATATTTTGTTGGTACTTATTAATGAATTGTCTAGACACAAGTAACATCTGAAATGTTGAACATGAATTTCATGATCGTGTCACATTTTCTTTGGTGAGCCATAGAGTATTGTATTTATTTCTCCCTCTACTGTACCTCGCTCACAGCAGTCAATATTTGTATAGTAGTACCCGCACTTGTAGATGTTTTATCATTCTTTCTTTGACAGGGCATTTTCTGGTGAATACTACAAGTTGAAGGATAACGGTGTCTACCATTGTGTTGTATGCGATGCTCCACTGTTCAAGTGAGTTCTGTTTGCATGAACTTTATCTTTGTGGATTGAACTGAATTTTTTTGAGGGCATTAACATGAAGATGCAACTTTGATAAGTTGCCTTTAGGAAAAATTCTGTGAGGATCAACTGTCATGCCTTCTAAGTTTTGTGAGGATGTAGACTTGGGTACTGGTATTCAAAAGGTCCATGTTTTATCATTTTTTTAATGAATCCTTGAAACTGCACCTTTGTGTCCAAGTTAAAGGGAATGTACAACATTTGCTTTTGCTGCAATTTTCAGAAATAAATGAATTTGAAGGATATGTTGTTATAGCAAATATTGTTACACTGACTCACGTTTTTTAGGTTTGTAGATGCTGGAAAAACCAAGAAAACCAAACATATTCTTGTAGCCTGGTTCCCTGACCCCACTTAATATGAAACGGAGCAATTTATAGACTTTGGGGAATAATTTTTTTTCGATATTTATACAGTGTTTATAGTAATACAAGTATTTTCAACTCTTATCTGGAATTTTTTTTCTCTGCAGATCAGAGACAAAATATGATTCTGGATCGGGTAAGTATCATATTATTATTAGCGTGTTTTATCAGTAAAACTGTACATTATGTTTTCCTCAATTATGACCTTACCATTTGTATCTCAGCTCTCAGTCTGGTACCAGTTAATACATCTGTCTGATTTTTACCCATAAATGTCACAAAATGAGCAAATTCTTCTTGCATGTTAAGTATAACTCCTGACGTATCGTTGGTTTCTGCTGACCAAGAACACTAGAGGAACCTTTGCCCTCACAAAGACTTAGCTATTTGTACCATATCCCAACACATTGTTTGCATTTTCTTAACCGTTCCTGTACCGGTATGTGAGCATCTTTGGTACATCCCAGTGAGTGGATATATAGTGCCATGTATTGGGCCCACTTTCATGGCTCTGTTAACCACAGAATTCCACGCTTACGATCACCATTCTGTGCTAGCAACACCAGTGAACAAAATTCTGTGCTAACCCTGTAAGCACAGAAACCCTACGGAATGTACGCATGGCATAAGCCACATTTCCTTGCTTACCTGTGAAATACGCTTACCATAAGCACAGAATTTTGTATTGTAAGCAGGGATTTTTTTTGCTAACTGTAAGCAGAATTGGGCCTTCCTTCACGCAGTCCGTAGTGACGTGAATGTTTTCTGCTGTTTCTATTGCCCAGGCTGGCCCTCCTTCTATGACCTGGCTGACAAGGGAGTGGCCAAACTACACCGTGACACCTCCCACGGGATGGTCAGGACAGAGTGTAACTGTGCCAAGGTGAGTGCAGAAAATGGACCGATCCGTTAAGCCACACCCCTTGATTTGTCAACCAATCACAGCTGAGACATGTGTACATGACGCACACAGCCTAAACATGCAGTGTGGCATTGGGAAGACGGACATGATATTGGACACTTGCCAAAGTGGGTGGAGCTTAAATTTGGAACAGTCCAGACTACTTGCCAGTTGAAGTGGATCAAGGCCCCTCCCTCTCCTTCATTGGTAATTGTTCAAATGCAAAGTGGACGGGGCTTAAATCTGGAATATTCCATTGTCAGGCAACTTGTTAGTTGATAAAGATTAATGCCCCTCCCTATCCTTCATTCAAAGGCGGAGTGGGCGGGGCTTAAATCTGGAATAGTCCATTGTCTGGCAACTTGTCAGTTGAAATTTATTACAGCCCCTCCCTATCCTTCGTCCTTCATCGATATTTGTTCATATGCGAAGTGGGCGGGGTTTAAATCTCGAATAGTCCATTGTCAGGCAACTTGTCAGTTGAAATAGATTGAAGCCCCTCCCTATCCTTCATCCTTCATCGATAATTGTTCACATGTGAAGTGGGCGGGGCTTAAATTTGGAATAGTCCATTGTCAGGCAACTTGTCAGTGGTAATAATTATATCAAAGCTCCTCCCTTTTCTTTGTCCTACGTGAATATTTGATCTATAATATATCGTGAAAATCGATACACTCTGCGCCCCTTTTCAACTTATTTGCCGCATTCTTTTTCAATTCAGTTTGATTGTTTTGTTTCAATAGTGTGGTGCTCATCTGGGCCACGTCTTTGATGATGGGCCAGCTCCTACCAGCCAGCGCTACTGCATCAATTCAGCATCCCTCAAGTTCAACCCGAAAAAGAAGCCTGAGAAATCAGATTTATAGCCGAGAATTTCAACCAAAAAAGTCTTATATTTTGATACAAAACATAGCTGTATCTAAGCCATACATTATAAGTAGGTTTAAGAGAATTCAGATTCATGTTAATTGACAAATTAAAAAATGCAATCTCGGTGAGACAACAGGAGCATAAGATGCTGCAAGCTTTACTGTTATTCGCACAATTTCTAGGTTTTCTTTTAAACTAATTTGTGGTTTGAATGGTTGGGACATCTTAAAAACTTGCTGAAACGTTTTGTACCAAAGTTCACACATGCTTATACACTAGCATCATAGATGATTCTTACAAATTTGAGGCTTCCCCGACTGTGTTCTAGGTTCTTATCCAACTTTGTTCTGTGCATAGTCAGAGTCGCGTACACTGGTACACTCCTAATCCTCAACATTCACAATTGTGGTTTCTGACTAGCGCCCCTTGAACAAAAACATTGACAAATTGGGAACCACCAACATAGGGCTGGATAGCTCAGTTGGTAGAGCACCAGAACGGCAGTCCAGAGGTCACAGGTTCAAACCCCGATCAAGTCATTTTTTTTTTCAACTTTGAAAAAATTATGTTCAATTTAAGGTTAGAATCTTATCTTGACAGTTTAAAAAGTAAGACTTTAAGGGAGTTGTGTTATGAATGATATATTAAGGAAAATATTGGGGGGGAAAATTTACATGTGAAGGGAAATATTTTTAAAAATTTAGAGTAATATATGAAAAAGTATTTAGTATTGCCGGGAAGGTTTATTTAGAAATATTATTGGTGTTTCTCAAACAAGTAATTTTACAGAGGCGGAAAAAGGAGGTCTTTCATAGTGGCTATTTGACAGTTTGTTACTGATGAAACAATTTGAATCGACTGTTGGGTTTGCAACTGGGAAGTCACACAAAAAAGAGGAAATTCAAATCTTTCCAAGAATTTGTACAGTGTTTTTCTATTTTTGATGGCATACATGGGAAGTGAAAAGGCAAAAATCAGCTGATCTTAGGAAAAGTTGCACGTCTGGACTGTGTAGCATTTAGGTCACGGCTCATGGGTGTCAAGATTGCATAGTGCATTGGTATTTTCTTGGTCAAATTTCACAGAATTTCTAATTGAAAAAAAAAATAACAAATCTATTTGCTAAAAAAAATTCAGCTCTGCAGCGGTCACCAAAAAAATTTGGCTGGTTACATGGTTTTTTGAAGTAGATCTTTCTGGTGCTTAGCAGTTCCTTGAAATTTGCCTCCGGTTTCAGACGGAAATATACAAATCACCACAGGCTTACCGTTGGACAGTTATATATTGAAACCAAAACTTTACTGAAGAAAGCATTTGAGTTTCTCACATTTTAAACTAATTTCAGCATTGACAATATATAAAGAGTTTAGTTCAAAACGCGATATATCCATTTGAAAAAAGTGAAAGATGAGTACAGTAATGAAACTTTAAAGAATAAAATTTAAAACAGTACAACAGCTGTTTCTATAAAACTTCATTTTTCGCTTCATTGTATTCTTAAGTTGCGTTTAAGTATATAAAAGCCGCCAAGACTGAACTGAGGCAGCCAAAAGAGGGCTGGTTTCTAAAAGGGGACAAAATGGCATATATATTGCGTTTTGGAAAATGCTTGAAAATTTCCATCAAGACAGAATTTTAATTAATTTTTGTCTTTCTGAGCAAATATGAAATAAACGCACAAAGCATTGGCTCATGGTTAACAATCCTGTGTACTTTTCAACAACTGGCAAAGAAAGATCGTTGTAAGCGGCTGATTATTATATGGATAATATTAACCCAACTTGGCATTGGAATTTGTTTGAAAACCAAAAAATTATGAGCGATGCAATTTCAGTTTTTACATTTCAAGATGTATTTTAACACTTTGTTGAACTTTGAATAGTGTTGAATGGAAGACAATGTTATTTTTTCTCTCTTGAGATTTCTTAAATAAAAACGAAAAGGAAATGTTTGTTTGATGTGGTTCCTTTTGTTTTTATTTGTTTTGGGGTGTAAAATATAACCTGTTTAGCTCACAAATAACAGGGGGTGGATATTGACAAAGGGATGTCTTGGCCACATTTCAATACCTTTTCACTTGACCAGACTGAATGATTCCAAATTGATTTGCAAAGACTTGGCCACTACTCTACAATTCTGGCCAAATCTCGCTGGGCCCCCAACCCCCCGGCCCCTGCTCAAATGTTGTCTCTCATGACGCGGTGTGTGCTCCATCAGCTGGAGAGAACAACATTGAGCGGGGGAGTGGGTGACCGTGGCAGGCTAAGGAAGTGTCCCAACCATTTTGGCCAGGATTGTAGAACCATTCAATGGAGACCTTTTTTGTTGTTTATGTCATTTTGAGCATGCGCACATTTAGCTTCAAAATGACGTAAACTGCAGGCATGTTTTCCTCGGATCAGCTGATTTCCTCTTTTTTTATTCCCATTTCTGTCATTCAAAAATAGAAAAACACTGTACAAAGTCTCCTGACTTTTGGAATTTCCTCTTTTTTTGTGAATGTACAGTTGCATGCCTGAAACTGAAAAGGACCGGTCTGTTTGCTGCCACCAATCATCTAAAAAATCTCCCACTGTATAACCAGACAAGGAAAACCAGAAAGAGTTCCACACCTGGACATCACTTGTCACCCGGGGCACAAACCCTATGGGACTGGTCTGAAAATTTGGGTTTTTTCAGTAAATGCTTCAATATTTTCCTTGCTAAATGGACTTTTTAGGAAATGTTATCGCTTTCCGATGGCTGATAGGTCACTGCAGGGAAAAATTAGTGATGGCCAGGTATGGGAATCTTTCCAGAAAGCCTACACAATGGGCAGAATTGAGCCTAGTAGGGGGTAGGGGTAATCCTATATGATGGCACTGCCCGGCACTATTCACCAGCCAACAACTAGGCTACACGTAGGTCACAAGTGAAGAGGATTAATAGGTTGGTCCTCCATGGGACTCGCAAAAACGTGACGAAGAAACTGACCAATTTAGATGTTTTCTCTTTATTAAAATCCTCTCGCGTGTGACAATTTTACATACCAAGAATTGAAAAATCATTAAATACCTACACTCGTAAAACTATTATACACAGGTAAACACCCATTTAAAATAAGTCGTCTAATATTACACTTTTTACGGTACATTTACAATTCAAATTTAAAGAAATTGGTGCTGTTCTGAAAAGTGTAAATTTTCAGGAAGGCGGCTTTAATCTTTGAAACAATTTTAGAGCGAGAAATAGCTTTTGAAAAGAAAGAAACTGACATTTTAAGGGAACGAAAAAATCCAGAGGAAATTTGTTGGAAATTTTTAATAAAACATGGCAAATTTTTTTGCGTGACAAACTGTGAATGGCAATGGTTACATCAGTTCTTTGGCCTTCTGATATAACTTTTAAAAAAGTAAAGACTACTTGGCAAAACACTTTAGAATCACAGAGAAAGTGTTCCACTTTCACATCTGTTGGCCTGGTAAACCCACTGATGATTCTCTTCATACCGCTCCCAACAAATTCAAGTCTTTAAAAACCTAATCAAAAAATGTCATTTTCTGTAGGCCACAAATTTCTACCTGATTTTTATTTTTGTAAGTCTTTGCGCTCAAAATGACCTGCACATAGATTACGGAATACTCTATGTTACATTCAACTGTCAATATATTAAACTAACACTTAAGTGTGATAGTGTGGGGAAAAAATGTGTGAAATAAGGTGAAATTTCAATAAGTGAAATATAATTGCCAGGATATATTTTCACGTCCGACATTTTGGAGGATATTTGAAATCAAACTGGCACAATTATTTTCGTAAATCATAAAATCCTATAACCTCAAGACATACAATCCTGCTGTTTTCAATCTAAATGCATTTCCATATCATCCGAACGTGAAGGATTTTAAGCCAACTATGCAATTTATATCAATATTCCTTCATTTCGAACGGGCAAATTTTCCGCATGATCCAATGCACGCACCATGTCAAAACTCATCTTTGCCAAATTTGCCTGGCAAAATATATAAGTAAACGAAAAACTTTTACAAGTGCAATTTTTTCTTTAAATCACTGCAATCATCACAATTTAATTTAGTTTAAATCATCTTAATTTTGAATTAAAATGATTCTATATATGTACAAATCTTTGATCGGATTCCAATCTGTAGGACTTGTCCCTCAATTTTAGATCTCACCAAGTAAGGGGAAAAAAAGTTGAAGACAAATAAAAATATGATCAAAATACCGAGAAAGAAAAATACCGAGAAAGAAAACTAAGATACATGTAAAACAAAAAAAGGCTTTCAGCTTCGGTCCACACATTGAGCCACCGGTATCAAATGATCGAAAGGAGCGATGCTCATAACGATTTTTGGCAAGGTATACACATCTAGAATTGGAAAATGTGGGATAGCTTTGTAGTGTGAGTGGTGGTAGTTTTTTGGGTGTTATCACTTTTATTTGGTTTTTTTTTCAAAATGGCCGCCAATATGCTTGAACCGGATTAATTATATGCAGTAACAAGCATGTTTTGGCTGCCATTTTTTTTTAACAGTGATAGCACCCAAAAAGCTGCCACCGCTGCAATGCTATCACATATTTTCCAACTACAGGGATGCATACCTTGCCAAAAATCACAATGGGCATTATTCCCCTCATTTGATACCGACCAAACCCCCAGGCTGATGGCCTAAAAGACAAAACTGCTCAGAGTAACTTCAGCTGTTGCTATTTTTTAGTGCCAAATGAATGTGTACACATGGGCAAAAATATAAGCTTTTTACTTAGATTTTGGTTGAATTTTTAAGGTTTTTACTTAGGGTATTCTATCAAACAATTTACACTTCAACTTGAGATGATCTTCCAAATGTCAGATACCTTCACAAGCAGCTTAACCGAAGAGAACAAAATCTAATTCATAAATTCAAATTCAAATTAATTTCCAAGCAAATATATATTTTTTTTAAATCCTTAAATATTTTATTCCAAAAGGGCAAAATCTGAATAACAAAAAAAAATAATTATCTTAACTTTCATTTACACATTCCTACTACCTGAAAATATACAATGCCATACCGACTATGAGCTAGACAATGGTGAGGGCAGTACCGTTATTTTTCTTTAAACCTAAAATTCATCTACTTTTAGTAGTTTGGGGTTATAGCACCGCAGTTCTCTTGTCCCGCTGTTTGCTTCGGACTTTGGTTCTGGCTTTGAAGGCTTGGGAATTGTAGTGATGCTGCAAAGGGTACAAGAGAATTTAATACAATTTAGAGACCAACATTTCATTTTTTTAAAGGAAAACTTTTTGGAAAGGAATTCTTAGCAAAGCATTGTGGGTGACACTCGCAATGATCAAAGTGCCTACATGCCATGTGCACACGTCATGCACGGGGTAAAAAATCCATCAAATGAGAGCTGAGAGTGGTGGGTATCAACAGAGAAAATAACCCCCCCCCCCAAAAAAACTTACCCTCTCAAAACGGTTGGCTTTCTTGGGAGCGCCAGGCCCAGACATGATGATAGGAGCTCCCAGGCCGAAGATGTCTCTGAGTAGCACGTTCTCCTGCAGGTGGATGTTGGTACCAGACCCAAGCACCTCACGGAAGGCCACGTACTGACGCTTCTTGACCCAGCCGTCCAGCTCCAGGATCTCGGGCCCGAACTTGATGATCTCGTGCGGGATCTCGTTCTCCTGAGAGGGAAGAAAAAAAGGTGAACGGTAAGCCAAAAAAACATTATTTACAAAGGGTAATCAAACATGGCATGGAAAGACGACAGTAGACTGATTAATTCATTTGCCATTTTCTTCGACAGATTTTTCTGCTTTTAAATTTTTTGTCTGACAAAATTTTTAAAATGTTTTGTCAGACAAAAATTTAAATGTTTCGTCAGACAAAATTGTTAAATTTTTTGTCAGACAAAACATGTTAAAAATTTGTCAGACAAAAATGTAAATTTTATTGTTTTGTTAGACAAGGGACATCAGGCTCCATGTAAAGAAATAGTTGCCTTCTTAAATCCTACAAAATCCTCCCAAACTGACTGGTGGATTCTGAAATATCTGGGAGGGTAAAGGTTACCATCTTATTTGTTCTAAGTGAAGTAGTTCCTGGGCTCTACCTTCCTCAATCCCACAAAATCCTACAAAATCTCCTGGTGGATTTGGAAAGATATACGATAGCAAGGGTTAACATCTAATTTGTCCTAAGTGAAGTTATAGATCCTGGGCTCTACCTTCCTCAATCCTACAAAATCCTACAAAATCTCCTGGTAGATTTGGAAAGATATACGATAGTAAGGATTAACATCTTATTTGTCTCAAGTTATGTTATCAATGCATAAGCTCTAGACTGTCAATTCAGGAAGGATCCCAACAATATCCAAGAGGGGAGGGGAGGGTAGGTTTAATAAATACCCTACAAAATCCTACAAAATCCTACAAAAATCTCAACAGTGTAAGAAAGGGTGAGTTGGGGGAGACCACCGGGAGAGACATTCTAATGCATTCCCGACAATGCCTGATGCTCACGCGAAGCCGCTATGGCTTTATGCACATTTAGAATAAAATCTGTCGTGCCTACTTCACGATATACCTCTGTGAAGCAGTACGAGCACGTGGTGTGTCCTGTCCACTGGGCTCGCGAAAGTGGTATAATAGGGCCCTCTCTTGTTCGCGCACAGCGCCTATAGACTGACCTGTATGGTTCTGATGATGTCTCTGAAGCTGGAGCGTTGTTGTCTTCTGTCTTTCTTGGCCCGGTATTTGTTGCTGTCGGTGGCCAGGCCTCGGAGGGTGACTACCAACTCCTCCACGTTCTCCATATCAAAATCCTGCAGTAAACGACAAGCATGCAGGATATTAGAACATATCAATTGTAGGTCTAAAGATATGAAAGCAAATACTATCTAACAAGCTTCAATATAGTTTCAGTGTTTCAAAACACTGACTTTACAGGATGGTGCAAATTGTACATGTAGGAAACCCACTTTTGACAGGAATTTTAACCTACTTACTTAACTTATTTGAACTGTTTTTTTTTATAATATAGTGAAGTAAAGCTCTTCAACCATACATTGTGAAAAAAAATCTGTTAAAAAAATCACAAAACTAGTGTTATTATGGTAATTTGAATACAAGTCACCAAAATCACTATTGTCCACATGTAAGTCTAGTGTAGTGTTTTTTTTGTCTCACTACATTTTTCAATGCTTGATAGCTCTGCCAATAAGTCACTGCATTTTCTGCAAATTTGTGATGTCAAGGCAAGTATGTACACTGTGAGTTTTCAAAAGTTGAGGAAAAGTCCAGCAAACTGTGTCGAATTTCACCACTGATGTTTTACGAATTCTACTTTATTTTAAAGTTGACAAACCCCTCCTTCTAAAAGGTGAACCATGACAAAACAATTTGTTTTGGACTTACTTCATTCTGCTCTCTGGCTAGCTCATGGAACATGGCGATAGATTCCCCGGCCTCTATTCTCAGACTGACGTCATCGCTGTGTAGTAGACTGGGAAGCTTACCTAAATGACTGCAAAGAGAACAAAAATGAAAAAAAAAATCAGTTTACGAGACCGTTCTCTCAGCACCTCAGAAATTTTAACAGACTGTTTCTGAATTCAAACTTAGTTTTGAAATGAGGGAATGTGCATCAACTCAATCTCATTCCATGGCTAAATTAAGAATTTTTCAAAATGTATTCCAGCATTACTGTCCAATTTCTTGAGCTACATATCTTCTTGCCCCATACTTCCAGAAGGCATAACAAGGATTTTTTCCCCTAAGATTTGCAAAAATTTGTCTGTGATATGCAAGTTTTAAATAAGCATTTTTGTAGGCCTGTGGGATTTTCCATTGTATTTATTCATATGACCTTTTTTTCAAGACAGAGATTTGTATGGGTTTCAATATCTATATTACCCTTTTTTTAAACTAACGATACTTCTTCAAAATCCAAGATCTTTATTTCCCTTTTTTTAAACTAACAATAATTCTTCAAAATCCAAGATATTTATTTCCCTTTTTTTTTTAACTAATGATTTTTCTTCAAAATCCAAGATTTGCAAAATAAATTAATGCCTCAAAGAAATTCAACCAGAACACAAATTTCATCTTTGTTATTACATGTACGTTGTTCTACAAAATTTACTTATCATGGAAAAAAAATTATGTGAAACCGCTTTTCAAACTTACCTATCTACAAGTTGCGGAACACGAGAGGGCGGTGCAATGGACAGCAGTAGCGTCCACGCAGACAAGGCCGCACAGTGGAGGGCTGCGATGGCTGGGGTGTGTGAGGGCGCTGTGCCGTCACCCTTCAGATACGACAAGCTGAACACGTGCTCCAGGGCCGTCATGCACTCCATCACAGTCTGAAAATGGAAATCATTTGAAATGTTTGGTCAAGGAAACATCAAGAATTATTAGGTCATGACATATAGGGGGAGTGTGGCCTAGTGGTTAGGGTTCGTGACTCATGATCAGAGGGTCAGGGGTTCGAATCAAGCTGCTGGCCGTATGTTGTGTCCTTGGGCAAGCCACTTCATCCCAACTTGCCTCTCTCCACCCAGGAGTATAAATGGGTACCGGCATTAGCTAGGGAGTAACCTGCTATGGACTGGCATACCATCCAGGAGGAATAGAAATATTCTCAGTCGTTTCATGCCACGGAAACCAGAGACAAACACTGGCCTGATGGGCCATATTGGCTCGTGACGGACTTAACTACATGACAAATTGAGGAACAATACCAACATTCTCAAATTACAAAACAAAAGAATACAATTCTCCTCAACTTACCTCATAGTCTTCAGCAGCTAGGAAGCAACCCAGACCCAGAAATAAGGCACACTGCAAAAAAAGGAAAATAATTGAAAGAACTTATAACTTTATAATTAGAGGTTTTTAATTATAAAAAAGACAGAATCATAGCTTGTTAGTGTAACACTTGAAAACTTAAATTCAAACTTGGGAAAAAAATGCTTTGAGTCTAAGTTCACTAAATCTTCCAAAATCCAGTAACTAGTTTTGGAGTGCTTTAATTGATTCGGGACTGCACAACCCAACTACTTTTATAAGAACTGGCCAATATCCAAACTTAGGTTTCTGCAAAGTGGAGGATTAAATAACTTGGGAGGCTAATCATCCTTAGTCGCAGCTGAGAAGCTGAATTGCGAAGGACGCGGCTACAACGTGGTCGAGCTGCAGGCATGTAAAGGCGCCTATGGCTGCCGGCCATACGACCCATATATGACCACGGAGCACAGCCTGAGATCGAAAGTGTTTGATTTTTGCAGAGGGAGGAAAAACGGAGGGCCCGGAGAAGAACCCTCGTGGCACAGGAGAGAACCAACGCACAACTCTACTCACATATGGTCCTAGCCGGGAATCGAACCCGCAACATTGGTGAGAGGTGAGCACTTTTCACACTAACCCCACACTAATCCACTCAGAAAATTTAGGAGTTAGGGTTAACAAAGAATGGAAGGTTTTCATAACATACACTAGCTCGGCCTTTTGGGGCCGCCGTCTTGTCCAACAGCGTGGTCTTCAGCAGATGTCGGAGGTCATTGAAGATGCCTTCACTGTCATCCCCGGCGCCCAGCTGGATCAAGAGCAGAGTACCAACGCTGGCAGCCAGCGCTTGCTCATCGCTCTTTCCTGCAAGGACAAAATGACAAGACAATGAAAATGAAACCAATGTTTTCAGTAGTACATCAGCGCATTTTGTTTTGGTGACTTAATCTATCCCTTCTAAATACTAAATATAAAATTTACCAAGAGGATTGGAAATTTTACAGAATTGGGTAGAGTATCCAGTTTCAATCCTGACTTTTAAAAATCAAGAGACTTTTTTTTCATTAATTGTAAAATGACTTTCTTAACAGCAGCTATTAGAAAAAAACACACCAACTTTTGTACCTTGAAGTAAAATTGTCAATCAAGAACAATAACACACAGTTCATGAACACACTTTATGGACAAGATGAATCAGAGAAACTCCACTAGGTGAAATGCGGGCATATGTGGGCACAGACTAAAACTCTGAAAATTTATTATGTACTCGTAACAAAAAAGTACCTCTTTGTTTAAATTAACCAGTTCACGCCGGGATTATTTTGACATTGACCGGAATCAGACGCGGGATTGTTTTTCAGGAAACTCGATGCCAGACAGGTTCAGGCCCTCATCTGCAGGTAGCACACCCTGATATTTCCGGCCTCACTCACTGCGTATTTATCCGTCATCCGTTCCGACTACCACAAACCTTTACCTGTATACATGTCATCCGGCGTGAACTGGTTAAAAGAGTAATTCCAAGCACTCAAGATAAACATGCACTGCGAAGTATTGTCTACAGTGGTTTTTTTTCCCCCACCTTTCTTGATGCAGCGTTCCACACAGTCTGAGATGGTGACTTTCCGATTCTCGATGAAGTCTGTCAAGACTTTACGAGCCAGGGCCTTCTTGAGACCTTCAAGGCAGTCCTTGCGTCCATTTGCACTGTTGGCAAGCCAAAAAAGGAAAATCAATATATGTTCGGACTACATGATGGATTTTAAATATTGGGTTTTTTTTTCTTATGGCAAAAATACATTTTCTACTCCCCCGCCTCCTCAGGGACCCTAAAACACTAGATGATTTAAAAAATAAAAACTTTAACTCATTTCATGCTGGCTGCGTATAGGCTTTAGTTTTGACACTATAGACTGTTCATTGTGAAGGAAGTATCCTAAAGGAAATGCACAGTGGATAGGAAGTGCCATAAAGTATTTCACACTGTAATCTGGGTTACATCCTATGAGGTCAGAACCCAATTTTCATGAAGGTGCAAACCCCCAACTTTTGCCAAGCAAATTTTTATCTTGAGCGAAAGCCATCTCAAAACCGGTCACAATCACTAAACATAGAATGCCATTTTGGCTAATAAGCTTAGCCCAATTTCATGGCTCTGCTTACCGCAGAATTCCGTGCTTGCAATCACAATTCTGTGAAACAAAACAGCGCAAGCATACAAATTATGTGCTAAGCACAGAATCCTTAGTTACAGGATGTATGCAGAATTCCTCGCTAACCCATGAAGTATGCTTACAGTAAGCACAGATTTTTTTTCGCTACAAAAGTAAGCAGGAATTGTTGGCTAACAGTAAGCAGAGCCATGAAATTGAGCCCTGTATTTGGTAAGCACGTATTACTGTGCTTAACAAGTTTCTTTGCTAAGTGCCATGACATTAGGTATCCTTACCTCTTCTGTGTTGTTCCATCGATGAGTTCTTTTATCTTCTCTTCAAGCACGTCTTGCGCATCTGTCTCATCCACATTGTCACCCTGCTGGGGCTCTAGAACAAAAAAGATATCACGGTCAAAAGAAGGAAAAATTGACCCGACTCAAAATATCACCCATTGACCAAACGCTCCTAGATCTTTCTAAATCCACCAAGTGGTTATGGGGATATTTTGTTTGTAGGATTGAGGAAAAAGGAGCCAAGCCACGTCTACATTACAGGGGGATTCATGCTGCTTAATTTACCGAGTATTCTACCCGAGATATCTTCAATTTGTCAGACTTTCTGTAGTGTTAGATATCCCGGTGTTATTCACAGATATTCTATTCTTTAGTATTCGTGCTATGAGGTACCTTCAGTTTGAACGGAAAGGCAGTTCTTTGCAGTACAGGTCTGATTTCACTGTCCGCAACTGTCCACCCTCCAAAAGATACCATATCAGTTTACAGTATTTTTACAACCTAGATATTTTAGTGCAGTCTATTGTGCCAAGTCCAGATTGCATGTTGCATAAAAATGCAAAAATTTTAAAAAAAACAGAGGTCAATGCCCATTTCAAAACAAATGACAAAGAATATTTAACTTCTTTTGGAGGTACTTTCAAGCTGGGGGGGGGGTAGGGGGTGTTTGTTCTCGTTGTTCATCGTTCAAACAACTTGAATAAAAAACTCTTTGAGATCTAAAATGGTAAATCTGATTATTTATAGTCATCACTCATTTTCTGTTATTCGTGAACTTACCAGAAATTGTTTTTGTTAATGATTTGGACATGATTTGATTCACGATTGTATTTATTATAGGCTTATATTTATTATATGATTTTATTTATTATAGCCCACGAAAAAAAATTGACTTGTTTCCAGTGGGGTCTTTTGGTACAGGAAGGAAATAACAGTTTTAGAATTGAGAAAAAACTCACAGGATCAGAGCGGTACTGAAAACCAAATCCACATGATGGCCCAGACGGGATTTGAACCTGGGTCACAGTAGCCTTTAGTCAAGTCCCACGCGCCTATACCCGGACCATCCAGACACGCACCCCGGATGCTGGCACGGATGCGAAGCCGCGAGGGCCTTTACTATCTCGTGGAACTAATCACTTATTCATTTATTCCCGTAATATACATCAAGCAATATAAACCAATCATCTAACGGTGGTTTGCGGTTACCAGCAACAGCATGGCGCGCGTGCTGTCTGGCGCCAGACGATGGCTGATTTACGTTAGTAATTCTGCATTTTCATTGGTCAATTCACAACGGGTAATGCATTATGCATGTCTACCAAATCGGTAGACAAATGTAAAGAAAAACATAAGCGTTCTTCACGAGATGGTAAAGGCCCTCGCGGCTTTGCCGCTCGTACTAGACTTTTTACGTGTCAGCATATCCACTGTGCGTCATGTGTCCGGGTAAGCGCGTGGGACTTGACTAAAGGCTAGGGTCACAGCGGTGGAAGGCGAGGAAAGTACCACTTCTCCAACCTGATCCCCCTAATTGTTCTGGACGGAATTAACTTTATGTCCAAACTATTGCATCCTCCCAACTACAGTTGGGATGGTCCCGACTTATTGTTGGGATCATCTCAACTTAAGTTGGGACTGTCTTAACTTTAGTTGGAGCCATTGCTACAGTTGGGCACGACAACTTAACTCACCTTCCTCTAAGATGCTATCTGGCTCGGACAGATGACTGCTGACGATGCTGCCTGTTTCCTCTGTATCTCCCTCACTACTGTCTCCACCTCGGGCCGCTCCTACGACAAAACAAAAGAAAGGGAACAACAAAAAGGTCCACTCAGTTATTAAGTTATCATCCAACCCTCACCAAAGGATTTCAATTAAAATAAACCTTGGAAAGAATGTTACAACCTGACGCTGCTTTTGTCTTCATATATCAACTCAATGAAGGTCACTCATTGCAAAAATGACGATAAAACATGAATCTGGGACTGAGAAATATTTCCAATACTTATGAAATTTTCTTGACTCTCCATAGACTTTGTACACAACCGCTGAAGTAGCGTCAGGTTGCAACATTCTTTCCTAAACCTTACTTTTCATATTTCATACATTTTTTTTTAAATAAGCCATCTGAAACACCCAGATCAGATAAATTATGATAATTTCATTTGTACGTGTGCATATGGCCTTGTATGTCCAAAAGAGAATTCGATTCATTTCGATATCTATAATTGTATTGGCCAAAGTGATTGTATTGGCACAAATGATGGTGGGCAATTAACTGCAGTTATTCATAGTTATTGTTTCCCTATGCCATTGTGGTCGTACGAGAGTTTGACCTGGACAATTGCACTTACATGTACATGTATGCCCTTGGGCAAGGCACTTTGCTACATTTCCTTCTCACCGATTAGGAGGCTACTTTGTGCTTTTGGGAGGGCAGAAAGGAGAAATATCTACAGATCTTCAAGCTGCATACATGACATGGCTGTACATGTATATGCTCCCTAAGGAGTTCATCATGGGAATATACCCACTTAACCCTAACTCCCCAAGCATTTTTGCAATGATGCAAAAATCAAGCAACCTCAATCCTGCAAAATCCTCCAACTGGCTTGAGTTGCATACGGCCTCAATCCTGCAAAATCCTCCATTATTTCTTGAATGTGGTCCTTGGAGGGGCGACCAATCCCTCAATCCTGCAAAATCCTCCAGCAATCACTGTCAATATGTTGAGACAGAGCCAGTGACATCCTGGAGCAGTGCAGAGGATTTTAAGTATATATCTAGGCCTAAATTTATGCACGGCTGAACATAAACAACACAAGGTCTGGCCTAAGACCTTGACACAGTGCATCTTCCAAATCATTTTAGCCATCTAGCCTCAATCCTGCAAAATCCTCCATTTTTGAAACAGGATTTGGAGGATTTGGGAAGGTTAGGATTAAGGAGTGCATCAGAATTATATACTCATGGATGTCGGATGTAACACAGGGATGGGGGGAAAGTGGACCCCAAATTTATCATCATCGCAGATATGCATGTGTTAAATGTTGGCTTCCTTTGAGCTTGTCTTACATACGCAGTGTGGACTTCCGAACAAAAGACGTCCACATAATGTAGGTAGCACCGACGTTGTGTGGACTTGCCCACGTCCACACAGTGTTTCCCCATTTCTGGAAAACAGGTTTAGAGGCATTTTTGGGTTAGGTTTATCTGTAGCAGAATGAAGAGAAACACTAAAGGGAATCATTGAAAAAAAATTGGGTTGTAAGAGTTTTCACAGTTTGAGAAAAATGAGTTTTTCCACTGGTGTTCCTTAACTACACGAAAAGAAAGGAAAGTCCACACTACGTATGTGAAACAAGTCTGTCTGTGTGTGGGGGGGGGGTCTTTTTGGGGGAGGGGCAACTGTCTTTCACCAACTTCCTTTTTCTCAAAATTCTTTTGTCCAATTTGAAATAAATTTGTGTTTCCCATAGCACTTTTATTCATGTTTTCACATTAAAAAACACATAAAACATTCAAATTTTGACAATATCTCTTTACACAGTTATAACTATAAAGTCACAAATCTGTACAGGTTTTGCTCATTTCAAACACTTTCAATCCTAACTTTTACCATATTTTGAAGACTTTACATGAATTTATTTAAGGAATGTCGTACCCTGATTCCACTTTGGTCATATTGTGTGTGTACAAAGTTTATAAAGAGATGTTATGGAAAGAATGTTGCATCCTGGCGCAACTTTTTTCATCATAATTCATATCATTTCAATGAAGGTCAGTCATTACAAAAATGTTGAAAAGACATGAATCTGGGACTGAGAAACATTTCCAAATTTGTTAGAAAATACTTCTTAACTCTACATAGACTTTGTGCACAACCACTGAACTTCTGAAGTGGCGTCTGGATACTACATTCTTTCCATGTTTTTTTCAAAGCATTTTCTAACACAATTGGAATTTGTTGGGTTTTTTTCAGTAGGCCTACCAAATCCCTATTTAAAATTTGTTTTGACGTATAAAATGTGTAATCAAAAATACTACACTCCAGCTAATTTAATAACTTTGATTTATGCAATATTTCATGATAATAAAATGTTAAATTATGACACACGTCATGCACGTAGACCATGTAAATGATGTATGCAAACACTGTACATGTACAAACTCATTTTTTTAATAACTATTTTCATAAATCCTAAACACTGCACACTATATTCATATTCACACTTCAATGATATCCTAGGCTAAAAATTACTATAGAAAAAAGTCTGTACAGAAAACAACTCTAGTGTCAATACAAAGAAAAGAATACATCCATCAATCACGCCCTTTTTGACCAGATCATCAGATGCCGGCTTCTGAAATTCTTGCTTGTTCAGATCAGAATTTCAGTTGGCAAAAAAACCGTATTTTTTTCGTCCTCCAGCAGACCATGGCACGAACAGCTCAAAGTTCTTTGACCAAAAAACCCAGTATCACTGTTTAAAAAAGCTGGAGACAAACACATCAAAACTGCTGTTCCATAAAAAAACCTTGATGTCAGCACTTTTGTATCCCAGTTGTATAGCATATGTTTCGATATAATGCAGTTCGATCCTGGCACAAACACAAAACGTAGTCTACGGTGTCTACAGAAAACTACACGCGCGAAATCGCAACCCCCCAAAAAAGAAAAATTACGGAGATCAAACTTACCCTTTTTCCTCACTTTCCGACGCGGCATCTTGCACCTAATACAGCCTAGTTTGTACCTTGAATAGCCTAATCTCAGGATATAAGTAGATTTTGTATATTCCACGGGTTTTTACTACGGAAATCGGTTTGTAAAAAGAGCATTTGTTGAGAGTAGAGTGCTTCTCGTCGATTCATATTGCAGTTTTGGTTTGACCATATGCGGCGCGGCATGCTCGTGCGGTGCGTGATACGTACGCACGTACGTAAAATGTTCGCCTTTGACCTCACCACGTACCTTGCGCTCACATTGCTTTCCAGTTAACTTGTCTACAAAGTGATGGGAGGGGTATTGCATTATGAGGTACATGGTAAATGAAAATAGTTTATTTCGCAATACCATTCTCAGTGTTTGTGTTGACGAGTCATGATGATTACGGAAGACGAAAAGCAGCGTGCGTCATCGCCCACTCACAATCCACGGGCAATACAGAAAAAGCGCCAACTTTTGAGAAGCCGGAAATTTTATAAAATAAACACGCGAGAAAAATCTAGACGTTTCATTCAAGTAGTCGAAATGGCCAGCTAATAAAATGGTAGGGGGTGAACAATTATGGTGATGATGGGGATGATGATGATGATGATGAAGATGAATATATATATGATTTCGATGTATGATTGATATGGAGCTAGCTACGGTTGGGTAACCTTATAATTAAGAGTTGGTCTTGTGGAACTTCAATTAAATGAATATGCCCTTTAAATTATTAGGTTTCCCCGACTATTTTCATATACACTGTATCTTTTGTTTTTGTCCGTTTACTAAAACTGAAACCAAAAGGTCCGGATTGGTTGGTACGTCACGCATCTGCACACCAGCGGGCACAAAACATGTTTTGTCGTACATGTATGTCACTGTTTTCCGTTGTTGTTGTCGTCGTCATCGTCATTGTCGTCGTCGTTGTTGTTGTTGTTGTTGTTGTTGCTTAGGTAAAAAAAATTGATGTTCATTTGTATTCCTTATTAATGATTAATTAATGTAATTTCATTGAAACTGATCCTCTGACCTTCTAAGGAGCCCGGCTTTGATAGCAATTATTTGCTCACCGGTATCCCACCCATTGTTTTGTCTGCCATTGTTAATTCTTTGATAAGCGCATCAATGATAAGGTGCCGCATTACTTTATGTCCGCCTGTCCGCAACAATTGGACAAACTCTGACGGGCCTGACCCCACCCCCGCAAAAATTCCTGGATCCGCCCCTGGTTATGGATTTTTTTCACAACATTTGAATTATTTGCTGCCAGACAATAATACAAATTCGGCTCATTTGTTTTGCACGAAATAAAAGCTTATTCAAAGGGTTGCAGATGCAAAATAGGCCTACAGCAGTTTTTTGGTTTTTTCGTTAAAACAAAACACACAACTGAAAATTCGTCAGGTGAAAAACAAATCAATTGTTTTCTAAGCGTTTCGGATATGAATCTTAAAAGGTAATGGATGTCCATTTGAAAACACTCAAAATGCTAAATGCAAAAAGTATTAAATGAAATATCCTTCTTAATCGTAACGAAAATTGTTCTGAGCAACTATCACATTCCACGCGAAATAAGAATGGGAGCTTTACATAATTCTCTGCATTTTTACTATAGATGGCGCCCTACTGAGTGTACGTATAGAGATCAGTGACTATTATTGTACACCCGAGCTCATTAATATTTTGTGACCCAGAGGCAGCTTGTAGGAATACAAAACTTGTATAGCTTGCAACTCGGGCGATTTTGTCCCCAAACCACCAACTGTCATATTGAGCGCATAAATAGAGGCGGGGGCTCAGTACATTCGAGACCTGCTGCATGGGCTAGAGATTATCAAACGTTTTAGGGTGGCTTGGGGGAGGGCATATTAGCAAAAAAAAAGTCTAATTGGAAATCTCTGATAAAAATGTGGCTAGACGAAAGTTTTGGGAGCTAAAGTCCCCCCCCCGAACCGCGCCTGTCCTGTCACACTCTCTCCACGATGGGAATCTCTCAGCGCTAGGGTGGAATATCCACGTTCACTTCGTAAGAATGGATGATCAAAGGTAATCATGGACGAATCGGCCATATTTTGTGGGTGAAATAACAATATGTACTTGGACTGTGTAGGTGTTTGGGCCGATGTGGTTGATTGTAATCACGCTAATTAGCATAATTAATATTTGCATTTACGGAAAGTCCGTAAAATTACGGCGAAAATACGGAATATTTCACTTTACGGAGTCCGTAAATTTACGGACATTTTAACAGTGTACAAAGTCTATGGAGAGACAAGATAATGTTTTAAGTATTTCGTAACAAAATTTGAAATGTTTCTCAGTCCCAGATTCATGTTTTATCATCTGTTTTGCAATGACCCACCTTCATTGAGATGATATATGAAGAAAAAAGCAGCGTCAGGTTGCAACATTCTTTAAAAAAAACCACCCTTTTCAGTGGGAGGGGTGGCTTGACCGAAATTCTAGGCTGTTCGTCAAGCTTTGATAAACATGTTTAACGATGTAATTTTGTGGTGCACCTAGTGACGGGAAATGTTCCCCTAGTAGCTCCTTTTTTTAAATTTTTTTTTCTGTAATAACGTGAAATCACAACGTTTTGAATACTACTCTGTGCCCGTTACCCTAATTTTGGGTGTCACTACAAAATCACATTTTCCTACCGTGCAAACTTCCAATCCGTAATAATTGTATATACAGTAGCCATGTCAGTTTGTATGGAAACAAGTTTCTCATAATGCTGGTGGGGGTATAGGCCACAAAATACTTAAGATATTCCCTCTTCCTGGCAGACGAGGAAAAACTGAATTGGAGTTGGACAAACGGTTCGTATTCTTCGAGAGACAAAAAATACACTTAAAAAAAAATACATCTTTGTTTCTTGATTATCAGGAAACGCAGTCTGTATATCCCGGGGTGCCACTGAGACAATGAAAAACTAACTGACGGCGGTAGCTGGTTTACTGTTACTGAAATAATTAACCACAAAAACTCCCTGCTGAGAGCTAGTCAGACGTTTTTTGCACTTTTCAACCATTGTTTGTGTGTCGGGGAGGGACATGGGGTGAATGAGAGGTCATATTGCTGCGTGCACCTGTTGTACGTTTCACTCATAAAATCATACAGTGCCCTGTACAAACTTTACAGCTGCAAATGTTCATTAAAAAGACCTTGATTACCTATTCTATTCAGAATGGTTGTATACTATAAAAATAAAAAATATCATCAATGACTGACCAAGAAATCAAATAAAAAGAGTTTTGAGAAATGATTGTTTTGGTCAAAAACGGGATGTTGAACTTCGAACCAATTAAAAAAAGCCGCTCGGTTTTTCACGAGTTGGATTGGTTGTTGCGTCAGTGACGCAATCGGGCCAGCTGATCGTGTCAAGATGGCGGATCATCACGGTAACGGTCAGGTTTCGGAGAGATCACGGACTGATCAGAGGCCCCTCCACCCGGAGGGAGCAGGCAGGGTAAGCACATATTGGCTTAAAAATATTCTCCTTGTATCTGACTTGCATGGTGAGGAGAGTTGAATGACCGGTCAGCGTCTTGGCGCAGTAAACGTGCACGCGAAATGCACCGAGCGTCGTCCTGACCTCTCCGTTTGTCTGCGTGCTAATGAGTGGGTGATGATGGCGTGTGTGTTGCTTGCATGGCCGGCCCGCCGCGTGCATGCACGCAAAAACGATTGCCTTCGCTAGTTCGCCGGCTTCGTGCGTGCGTCATGACATGTGGCGGTGACTTGAAGGCTAATCGTAATCCTTGTGTGATCGATTATTTGTGGGTTTCCCGTGTGGGTCGAAAGTGGGGTCAGCTCATTACAATAGGTATGCATATTTATAGTAGCCACGGTAGCCACATGGTGTTACATTTTTCAAACACGTGTTACGGACAGTCCGTGGCGTGAGTCTGTGGCATTCGTGGTGACTCTCTCACTCCGGCCAGTTGTGTGTTCGTCTTCCGCACATGGACTTACCAAACAAAAGAAAGTCTTGGGGTCGATCTTTTTGTCGTCGATCGTTACACCGGTGTCTCCTTTGTTGTACCACATACTGATAAAGCAAGGACTTGTGAGGGTGATGTGTACAGTAAACAGTGTCCACAGAAAGTAACTTTGTAGCTGTTGAAGGAATTCCCAACTTGTATGAATTTCAACATCTGGAATCAACAATTGGTAAACCATGCATGTCTTCAGTTGATCCATGGTTGATCATACAACCAGTCCACTTGCAGGAGTTGGTACATCCACTGGCACGTCTTCAACAAGTTCAAGTACCACAAACTTCCCTTGTTTCTTCCATCTGAACTACTGTTGAGTGCCATTGTAGTTTGTACATGTACATGTATACACATGGTGGTCAGTCTGTTTTTGTTGCTTTAGGCCAAGCTTTTGCCTAGTATTTTCACTGCTGGCTTGCTGCATTGCAAAGTTTTTGTGTACATTGGACGCCGTCATTCATTCAACAAGACCAATGTCTGTGATTCCTGTTAACAAGGAGGAGCAGAAGCAGGTAGGTACATTGCAGATTCTTGAGTAATTGATTAAAATCATGAGGATATATGATTTTTTTTTAGGTATTTTGATTCCAATTGGACTGTTACCACTTAACTTACCACTTGTCTTTGTCTTTGATAAATAGGGATGTAACTAATAGACTATCCTTGTTCTATGCTTAGACTAACAATGCCAAGCAAGTATTAAGTCCAACTGTTAAAAAAAAAACATTACTTGCACGGAACCAATCTTTCATCATCACGATTCTAAGTTCTGGCAAAGGCCCACTATTTGGAAACTGAGTAATTATTTCAATATTTGTTATGATATGAAACACTTTTTAAACTGTTAATGAAAAATGGAAATATTGCATCCTGACGCCACTTTGTTTCATCAATATCTCAGTGAAGTTCAGTCATTGCAAAAATGTTGAAAAGACATGAATGTGGGACTAAAAAACAAGTTCCAATTTTGTTAGAAAATAGACTTTGTACACAACCAAAGAAATGGCGTCTGAATTCTTTCCAGACTTTGAACGAAACAAAGGAAACAGTGTTTGGTGCTATGAAATTCCGAAACGTAAAGATACGAAGTTGAGTCGCTGTTAAATCATGTTAAGTATCTCATTTCTTATCAAATGAAAGAAACTTGTCATCTATGATCACTGATACTGAACAGGCATGCAGGTAAAACTGCCAATATTTCATGTCTTTATCATGCTCATGTGTTTCTTACAAACACATGGTGAGTCAGATGACCAACCCTTTCACTTCAAGGAAATACTACTTTGTGTGATGCAGAACACTGAACAGTCAAGACTAACAATAAGTAAATGGCGCCCTCTATCAGCCAATTCTAACCAGCTCTAGTCCAAGTCCACAGTACAGTTGTATAATGTACAATATAATACGTAACTTTGTGCCAGGTCTTAAACACAGGGTAAATGTACTTGTGTGGAATTTCAGTTCATGTCAGCCCTATCTATCCCAATGCTTTTTCAGTATAGTTTGTGTTTGAAATCAAATATTGCCTTCGGCATAGTGTCATGTATGGATACATGTATGGGTATATCACTTGAATCGGCCTGTGATATTAAAAGCTTAAAAAATATACAAGGTCACGCATTGCATGTCTCGTCTGTATCAGCAACGTGATTAGGCCCAAATTACCTAAGTCTTTAAGCAGATTAATATCCCTTAAAATAACGCAATACTTCAATTAAGAAAAAAAGGATATTTGTAAAGTTTCAGTTAATTTAAATAACAACAAATATACTTTTAAAAAGGTTTAAACACTAGCAAATCATCTTTTGCAAATTCAGTTGCTCAAATTAAAAAGGTCAATAAGGATATTTAGGTTTAGACTGTTCAAACATCAACTCCATACATGTGGTGCACCTGATCATAAAATAATCTCATTAAGGTATTTGGATAGCATGTTAATATGGTTGGTTCTATTCATAGGCTCAGTCCCTTTATGTATGGGTACGCATGCTGTGTTTGAATGACAAAAAGAATGTTATCTACAGTCCACAAGGTCATGCTTTTGTGATGTGTAATTTCCTCATCTGTACTCCAGTGACTATGATTCGAAAACTGCGGTGCCCATGACATTTAATTCCAGAATGTTTGCTACATGTACATGTTTGATGAATGTACAAGACGTTCAAGTTCCTGTACTGGTACATGTATGTGCACTGTACAATGTACATGTACATGTATGTGCACTGTACAATGTACATGTACATGTATGTGCACTGTACAATGTACATGTACATGTATGTGCACTGTACAATGTACATGTACGTGTACATGTACATGTAAATGTGCATGTAACTAACACATGTACATAAACTGGCACATGTTCTTTACTGGGTGTACATATTTTCAAACAGATAAATGTTCACATACATGTTTCATTTAGTTGTTAATGCATTTAAAGGTAATAAATGTACAACATTTGCTTTTGCTATAATTTTCAAAAATGGATGTATTTCGGGGTAAGTATTTTATAGCAAATATTGCTACACGGACCTGTTTAAAGTTTCTTGTTCATTAGATGCTGGAAAAACCAAGAATTATGCTCTTGTAGTCTGGTTCCCTCAGCCTAAACGGAGCAATGTATTAACGTCTGGGAATTGTCAGGTCAGGGAACCAGACGAGCTGGGTTGCACCGGTTCATGGATGTGTAACCGATTGCAAACAAAATCTAGACCTGACTGACCATCGTTTGAAAGTGATACAAAAATTACACTTTTTCTTGAAAATGACAGCACACCAGGTGCCATGATTTCACAGGATGTTTAGACTATATTTCACTTGCATTCAAGTAAGGTATTTCACAATAATTAATTTGGTAGTTTTTATGTTTGCAAAAATGTATGTCGTATACTGACAGGACTCAAGGGGAAACGTGCATTTAAGTAAATGTGAAATTAGCTTTGCACCTGGCATGCCTATACACGTATGTGTCTGTAAATTAACAAAAAAAAAAGTCCACAAGAGATTAATTTTATTGTCAAGCCTGCATGGTTACAAATTATGGATAATGACTGCATGATTAGCGAGATTTATGCCTGTGCCTACACTGTACATGTCACTGCACTCGTGATAAGATCAATAATGAAGCAATTACAATGCACATCATGTACGTATTGAAAGGTCAGCGAATGATTTTTGCAGAAACTGAAGAATTAGAATTTCAAAATTACAAGTCAAACCTGAAGGATGATATTTGTCACTTATAACGGTAACTATTCTTAGTATTCGGCATTTGCCGCTTTGTTTTATTTTAGAATATGCATGTAAATATACAAATCCTCTTTGTTAATTTTAGTGTTCAGCAGAAGTTACCGGTAGTCAGTTGAGATAGGTACAGTGTTTAATTTGAAGTCTGTTTACTTTAATATGCAGGCAGATGTCTCCAACCAGTATGCACGATAAACGTACTTTGTACTCATAAGATAAAACCTAAACAGAAACAATACACTCGACTGAAAGGGAAACGTAAAATCGTAAGCATTGGCTGCTTATATTGATTTCCCGTCCATCGTTAGAAGAAAAAAAAACAAGGGAAGAAAAAAATCCAGTTAGCCTGCCTCTGCCCGCATCCACCCACCCCTGCTGTTGAGAGCTGGATGAAGAGAAAGTTCAAGAGCGTTCACACCGCCAGCCAGAATATTTAATAATTAAGGGGGGGAGAGTAGACGCAAAAGAGACAGAGTACACGCCGCTAGGTACATGTACATGTGTGCAGTGGAAATCACCTCCGCAGTAGGCAAAGAGTACCCGTGGATTATTTCTTATTTTTTGTCGCGGCCGGCTGTTTTGAAGTGGGCACAGCGAGACGAGAGAGGAATTAGCTGAAGGAGTACATCTGCGCAAGGAACTGCCGTAGATGCAGAAACCATGCAAAACCAAGACTCGGTCTCGCCGATGGTCTCTGGCCGGTTTAATCAGGTATCGTTTAATAAATGCCTGCTTTTGTAATTGGGGCCGGTGGTGTAGTGACGTAGGTTGGGGGCGCGAGTTGAAAGTGGCAAGCTTAATTGGGCGATGCTAGTCTTGTAAGAAAATTTAACCAATTTGTACATTTCCATGTAGGCTCGTGCTGTACATCATATGTAAAGTATACATGTACATACATTGATTAAATATGCTGTTCAATGTAGTAATATGCATTTGTAGGTCCGGTAATCTGATGAAGATGCTAGCAATAAAAATCTTAATTGTACACTTGTACAAAGTTCATTGGCAGAAAAATGAAAAGAAATGTTTGTTGTTCCTCCATGTAATAACCGTTGAATAAATATACACGTACAGATAACATGAACGATTACACAAGGCACTGTACATACAGTTGTATGATGACCTACTCTTTGTACATGCACAGTGGATCATTTAATGAGTGGTGCACAAGGCGAGTGGGGGTGTCACATACGCATATAATATACACGTATGTATAGTATAATGTGTTGTGGGCAGTTGTGTTATCGTTCTTGTACCATGTACCCGTGGCAGACCTACATGTACATGTACCAAGTCTCACACACCTTGGACTATTCACGCCCTCACACACCGAACAATTGTAATCACACGCCTAACGCTAAATTGTTTTAAAATAATATTTTGTGGGTTTTTTGGGGACAAGAATACAGAAACATGTTTCGTGTTTGGGTTAACATTTTGGCGACTTCGGTTCTGCACAAAGATATAGCGCTGCACGGTGTGGTAGGGAAACCCTCGTCTCCAGGGCCAACCAATGGCCTGGAAATGAAATTATGCTAAGCGCTGCTACGGTATTCTACTTCCTAATAAATAAAGATAAACAGATATAAATTATACATATTATTTTTAAAGCTCTTTGTCATTTTTTGACAAGCGCAGGTGCACGCAAATCCCACTAGGCAGCTAGATCAGGCGGTGGCATGTACAACTTGATCGACCGCCTGTACAACTTGATCAGGGCATGTGCAGAGGAGGCGGGGGGGGGGGGGGGGATTAAACACATATCAAATGTACATGTAGAATAATCAAATATCAAATTATTAAAAAAAGGAACACTAGTAGTACCATACATGTTGTAGTATGTAAGATCTTTTAAAACATATTGAAATTAAAACACAATCCCTAAACGTACGTACATTTGTCAGTGTAAAACAGAATTACAGTACAGTAAGCAGTGTGCTTCTTAAAAACCCTAACCCTGCCAGACACAACACAGTGCATCAGGTGGATAAGTCTGGTGCACAATGAGCTTCCAACACCAGTGCATCAACGGGCCACTTCTGAGACAATGAGAGCTAGTCCCATTGAACAATCCTGCTGCATTTGGTGACCGCATCTTGCTACACTAGTCTATAGGCAAACTTGTCACTTATAAGACAAGTGTTGCATGTTGCTGCGTTTGGCAGGGTTTCTAGCCAAAATACCCTAGAGGGTTAGGGTTTTAACAACAAAATTTCAGTAATTGCTTAAAAATTAAGGCTAAATTGAAGCAACCTCGTTCCCAGGGTGT